AGAGAGAGAGAGAGAGAGAGAGAGAGGGAGAATAGATATGGGGTAGGGGATAGGAGAAATTTGAGGGGATATAAGAGAGAAAAATAATACAAAGCTTATTTTTTGGCTTAAGGGTAGGAGGTGACCATAAATAGATATTTGGCTATAAAAAATCAAAAGGTAGCTATGGAATATAATTTTTTAAAGGGTATTTATTTAAAATAAATAAGGTATCAACCTTTGATATAGGAGGTAACTAAACCAAAATGCCTTCTTGTCCTATCAAATGCCTTCTCCTTTTGTTTTGCACTTGTTATTTAATTTTGTACTTAGGAGAATCATTAAGGTGAGAATTTAAATATGAAACTTGGAATGTTTATTTTTGTTAATTTGAACTTGCCTCAACATAATCATGAAACGAGCACGCTCACAGATGTACTTGTCATGGTTTTATAATTTTAATTTCATAAGATATCATATTCTTTTTCACTGTGGTCTTTGATGTGGTCTATGCTCCTTTAAAGCAAAAAAGCACTTGCACATATATAAATAAACTCTATTAAGAAAGAAAATAGACTCGACTGGGACCATTTGGCCAACTTTTATGAGAAATTTTTTCATGTGAAAATTTTTAAAATTTATTTTTAAACATCTCATTTTACTTTTAATTAGATGAAGTATAGTTAAAAAATATCTATAACTTATTTTAGATCAAGCGTTTCAAAAATCTTTCTTTTTAAGCTACGTGCCAAGACAAATACCTCACATAAATTGGGACATAGAGAATAATATACTCTTCTAAAATAAAATATGATAATATGAAATAGATTGAGATAGCTTGAAAATAATACCAATTTTTTTAAAAAACGCGGAAATTATAGTAACATTTGGAGAAAATATTGTTGCTGAAAGTGCATCACATATTTCAGATTAATGATAAATAAATAAAATAAATAATGATCGTGGTTCCAACTGCACACTGAAGGAAAATATTACTAGTATTATTATCTTCTTGGTAATAAAGTTGAAAGCCAGAAACATCTGAAGCAGTACATTCCCCACACAATTGAATACTCCTTGGTCTACACTGTCTGCTGTTTTTTTCACATAACTCATAATGTTTGTAGTCATTTCGGACTACAATTTTTATTTTTTATTTTTATTTTTATTTTTTTGGAACCCCAGGAAAATCCGCAGCCGCTACAGCCTCTGCCACAGCTTCTGCCCTTCGGGTGAGCACTCTGTGGTGAGTGCTCTGTGCGCACTGGGTAAACCCCCCATTGTGTAATAGCCTGCAAACCACACAGGGAATGTAAACCGCACTAGGCAAGCCCCGTGCGACAGGCTCAGACCCAGAAGGCATTGAGGGGGAATCGAACCCGCATCTCCCGTGTGAAAAACTCCCTCCAAACCCACTGGGCCGTCCCTTCGGGACATTTCGGACTACAATTGACCTAACCAAATTTGACATTTTTTAAAGGCTTTTTTTTTTCTATTTATTTAGTTTAACCATTAGAAGTATTTAAAACCAACGTTTATGTATCAATGTGAGTCACATAACCGACAGAGAGATAGAAATACTCATGCTATATACACTTTGCTATCTCTTTATTCGTTTAAGAGTTAGTTTAAGTTTTAACTTTTATACACTAACATTGTCAAAAATTAATATTTATATAATTAGATTATTTAAGGTAATCACCGATAAATTTCAGTGATAATACTTGATAACCCGATAATAATTAGCTTGATATAATAGGTTAAATTACCCGAATAGTATAAAATTTTGTACATTATATATATGACTTAAATCCTTTAGGATTATACTTGAAATGAATAAAAGTTAAATCAATATTTGGTTTAGTTGAAAACGTCAAAATACCACAATAGAAAGAGAAAGTTATGAACAGAGGTGGACCCATGGGTTTTAAGCAACGGGGCAACAATATTCTGCTCAACCAGTGCCCCCTAAAGCCTTTTAATGTTCAGGGTGCCAAATGCCTTAAATTAACTATTTTCTATATTTATATATATAAGAATTAACGTAAGATTCGGCAGAAATCTTATACAACAACAACAACAACCCAGTAATATATAGGTCCGCCTCTGATTATGGAGGAATGTGTGGAGTGGTGTGTTAGGAGGAAATTTATTTACTCACATTCGATATTTATATATACATACATATTTTATCATAAATTTTTATTGCTTAACCATGCACGGTTAACTAATAGATAGGCCCACCTCATTTTATTACTTAACTATAGTATGTTAATATGAATTGACGTAAATATAGAGCGTGTGAATATTTCTATATTAGTAGTGTTAGGTATTGTTGGCTAACGTTTATATGATTTGATGTCGGTAAGACAAGTCTAGCATCCCCAACTTTAAGGATGAAAATAACAAACTACTAATCTTATTCTAAGTGACATGTCACACCAAAGAGAGAAGTCCTAAGAAACATGCATGTCTAATTAAAAAAAAGTAGCCCGATGTATAAAGTATCCTATATTTATGTTAGGTCCGGGGAAGGGCCGTACCCCAAAGCGATGTGATATAGGCAGCCTACTCTGATGTAAGTTTCACTCACTAATTCCACGACTCGAACCCGTGATCCATAGGCCACACAAAAAATAATTTTACCGTTGCTCCAAGGCTTGCCTTCACATATATCCAAGTTTATATTGGAATAAAGTCTAAAAAAGTTAAATTCTATAGTTTGTGCCTAACAATTCTAAAAGTAGATGCTTCATTTTGCTCCACTATCTCATCTTTTGTCTTGAAAGAAAAAAATCCTAAACAAACAACCAAAAAGTACTAATGCCTAGAAAAAGCCCTCACAATCAAAACAATTTTGGGTCCAACCCAACACCAATAAAAGGCCCACTTGGATGTTGACCCACCACCAAAAGTAACAACTTAAACCTGGAGCCCAACCTTAAATAACTCTTAACCCCTGGTTGTCACCTAAATTACATTAAATGCCACTATTTTTCAGGTGACGGTAGCCTTGCTTCCCGTGCGTAACAGAATCACGTTCTGTTATTTTTTCTTCTTTTTTTCCCAACATTAAATTTCGTAAATTAACTCCTTTGAACATATGCTATATAGAGCCCGTTTGGATTAGCTGATTTGAAATAGCTGATAAGCATTAGATGCTGAAAAGTACTTTTAAGTGCTGAAACTGATTTAATAAATAAGCAGTTACGTGTTTAGGTACAAGTGCTGAAATTGATAATAAGTTGCTGCAGTATTTGATAAAAAAGTGCTGATAAGCTATTTTTCTGTTAACATGACTTGAATAACCTTAGAATTGTTTACACTTATAAGGGCGTAATTTTTTCAAAATTGTAGATTCCAGATCGATTCAAATACAAAATATTCTATTTGTCATTTTATTATAAATACAATTGTGATTAGATAAAATAATTTTTATGATAAATATGATTTATTTTATGATAAGCATATAGTCATAAGTTATTTATAATTAATAAATTGACAAAAGTTTCTCAGTAAAAAATAAATCTAAATAGAATAAAATATTTGAAAAGAAACACCATCTTCATCATCACAACACTTAGAAAGCAGTACACCAAAAAATTGATATGTCCTCGTTTATTACATACAGTTCAAACATTAATACACAATCACATAGATTCAAATATGCAAAGGAATATAGATTTTGCTTACCTCAAATAGTCAATAGTTTTGTTTTGAAAAGGAATATTTGAGGGATAAAATAGTAAAAATCTTGGTCAAACTTAAAGTGCTTATAAGCTAAAAATTCATAAGCTAGGGGTGACCAGGTTATGGCTTTTGGCTTATTTTTGGCTTATAAGCACTTTTAACTTTACCAAACATGTAGATAAGTCGAAAAGTGCTTATAAGCTACTTTGACCAGCTTATAAGCTTAGCCAAACACCCTCATAGCCTGACCAAGATTCTTAAATCTACTTATTTTGATTTTTTTTTAAAAAAATTTATTCTTTATAAAAGTATTTTTGGTACTAATATTATATTTTTACTAATTAATTTAAAAAGTAATTATTTGGTCAAGTTTTTAAAACGTATTTTTAAGTGTTTTTTTTCAAAGATACTTTTCGAAAAAATATTTTTAGGGAGAAATTACTTTTTTTTTTTTTTTGCTTCTCACAAACTGCTTTTATTTTACTCAAAAACATATTTTTCTTTTTAAAAGCTTGGCCAAATATATTAACTTTGAAAAAAAAATACTTGGCATAAAAAAATATACTTTTAACCAAAAAAAAACTTGACCAAACAAACTGCAAGAGAGATTGGATCTTATTATTCAACAAAAACATTGAAACTTTTCACAGTTTAAGTCAAAGGATAGAGTTAACCTATTTAGCTAACAACTTGTTTGGATGGTTGTTACGTATCGTTTTATAATGTATCGTATCGTATCGTATCGTATTGTATTGTATTGTATTGTATCGTTTGATGAATACAATGTTTGGATGGATTGTGTCATTTTGGCGTTGTTTCATGGTATCACGCACATGTGATATGATGAATAAACTTGTAATATTATAAAGAAAAATTATGATACGGTATATAAAAAGGTAGGGTAAATGATAAAATAAAATTATTTAATAATAATGAAGGTTGAGATTGAGAGAAAAACACAAGGAAACGACGCGACCACACCAAATCGGTCGTTACATAAAGTGACACATTTTATCGTTACGTAACGACAGATTTAACGATACGATACAATAAAATTCAAGTAACAATCAAAACAAACATTATATTTAAAGTAACAATACGGCACGATACGATAGGTAACAACTATCCAAACAAGCTGTAAAGGATTGCATTATTCGTTTTCGACCCGCTCATAAATCCGTTTGGCAGCTGAGAAGTCACTTACTAACTAAGTTAAAGAAAAGAATAACTGCGCGCATAACGTTGTCCTGACTCTTCAG